TCTTTTTATCTTCGTTGTGGACAAGGATCTCTCTAAAAATAGCTGTTTTACACACGCCACAACAGTCCTTTCTGAAAATTATAAACTCTAAATTTTTGGGCCCCCCAGACCCTAAAGGACTCCTAGGTGTGAGAACTGTCCGGGGCATTGTGGGGGTCCCAGAAATTCAGGGTGCTGTTTTCGGGGTTCTGGCGACTTCAGGTTCAGGATTTTGGCGCTCAAGGTTTAGGATTCAAATTTTAGGCTTCGGTGTATAGGGATAAGCACCAAGTTTTATTGTTTGATCCCTATTTTGGGGGAGGGTTTTATGTTGCAGAAATAGTTGATTGCCTACCAAGCCCAGGCTGCGCATAGCTGCAGGGTGTCAGTACGGAAGCAATAGATGGAAAAGAATATGCGGACTGTTACAGTTTTGGGGGGTTAGATCGGGCTACTTCAATGTCTTTGAGAGCACTGCACTGGCACAAGATCGAGGAGCAGCAGCTTGTTGCTGTGATCGGATTCGTTTCGTGCTGCCCTCTTCGGGGTCTCTGGAAGAAACGATGCTGATGATGATGGTGGTGTTTAGGGCTTGAGCAACCAGAAAGTAGCTGATCCTGGTTATTCTGGCAGGGTGCCTTGGCGCGAGGGCAAGATGAACAAAGCTGATGCTGATAATGATCTGATCAATGGTGGCTGCTGTGGGCTCGACGGGCAGGTTTCGTGGGCTACGACAAACCCTAAACAAGTGATGCTAATTCTTGGCAAAACAGAAGCATCAAACCCTAAACCCTAGAACGGCAACGTGGCCGTGATGCTGCATGCAGACGCTGGCGGGTGCTTTGGGCGGTGCTCATGGTTAACCAGCTGTTGCTTACGATGCTGTCATGTGCTTGTGGCTCGGAGCGAACATAGAGCAGCTGATACTGCCGTCGTATGTCGATGAATCTTTTCTTCTGGAACTTCTAGCCATCTTGTCTTGACAAGGATGTGCCGAATGAAAGTTCATCAGATCATGAGTTGGCAATTGAGAAGGTTCGTTTCTGTTTTCGAAGTGGATGAAGCTTCCTGGTTTAAGCGCAGGAAGCTGGAACGAAGATGCCAGACCAGAAGTTCGGAGACTTTGCCGCCCTGGCCATCAAGGTGCAAATTTGGGAAAGATTTCTAAGGGTTCTGTTGGGATCCAGTAGGGGTCATCCTAGTAGAGGACCTCATGACTTGTATCAGGCTGTTCCGGCCTTACAGGGGTCGCTTCACTTTGGCAGCCCCCTGGCCTCAATACTCCCTTCCTTTCCTCTACAAGTAGGGCATTCCATATGAGAAATACCTTAATAGGAAAGATTACGAACAAAAGCCATCCTTCTAGTATTGAGCGACAGTATTTTGTAGGGCAGCAGGTGCCAACTCCCTAGGGTCCAGTTCAAGTAGAATTTTGTGTCTCAGGTGCAGACTTGTCAGATGTTGTCTTATACTACCATATACTATAATGTACAATTAGACTGTCGTTCATCTTTTTGTAACACCACCATGTGGGGCTGTTTAACCCCCAATAATGAAGAATCAGATGGATAAGAACATGGATCATTAGTTGAAACCTCGGGTCCCTGTAAAGGGGTTATACAGGGATAAATACCTAGACCCTCCATTTACCCTCTATATACCACTATTAGAGATCATATACCTCTATTTGAAAGGTACAAGGCGGGTCCTGGTAAGGTTCAGTGTCTAAGAAAAGCAAGCGAAATCAAACGAAGCTGGCAAAGGGTCCCGGGGGAAGCAGATTGAGCCCACCATCCTCCCACTGCCTAAAAGCCTGTCCCCTCCAATGTGAGCGCGTGGCCCAAAATCCCTTAGGTGAACCCCCCGCCCTGTAATATTGGTATAGTAGGAATATAAGAGGACTCTAAGATAGTCCTCATTATGCCTTATAGTAACTGTTACTGGGTGGGGGGGTCCACCTAAAAATCCCTGTCACTTGAGCACACAAGATTTGGATCCTCGTTATGGTATCTTGGATCCATCCACCTTGACTCATTATATATGACTCATGGAGCCAGTTGAACTATAGTCTAAACTCCTCAAAGGGGGTTATAAAGGGGATTAACGGATTAACGGGCATTATGTAGGGGACTACAATGGGGGTTATCAAGGGGGATACTAGCAGTTTCCACAGAGGCTCATTTGAACGCCATCTGAACCATGCAATTGCGACACTTCCAAGCTGTAAGCAAGTTTGGCATCCGCACGGATTGGAAGTTAAAGGCATTGATGCAGGATTGCTGATCACAGCGGGTATAGTATGATTCTTGTGGGGGCACGATTCGAGAGAGGCTGGAGCCCAACAGCTCCACTTGAACAACACCCGCGTAACGGACACGGACTCGCAGAAGGCACTTCTCGAGTACCAGGACAGCTTGCTGCGTGGAGAAACCGTGTAGGGTTTACAATTTGGCATTTGGGGTCATGCCGGGTAGTCGAGCTGGATAGGTACACATGACTGGTTTAATTAGTTTTCTTGGGGCCCAGGGAACCCAGCAACTGGGTTATGGCTTCAGTTGGGATGGATTGCTGCCTGCCGGATGGGGCGTGGAGCCTGAAGAAGAATGATGTGCTCTTCCCAGAGTTTTCTGCAACAAGTGCATCCCAGTGACTTGCGAGGACCGCATTTCTGCGGACACCGCGACAAAAACTATGTTGGCCCATGCCTCAAAGTGGGCGAGCCATTGCACCTCCGCAAGGGTTCTTCTTTTCGTTGGAGTAACACCCCTTTCCAGATGCCCTTGGTGTGACTCATGTAGGCTTGAACGTGAGGCAGGGTCGTTTATCTCTAAAAGTGGATCCTTCTAAACCAACAAGAATAACAGTAATGACAAGGCCGAGGCTTTTCCTGGAGCTTTTTTGATAGCTTTGAGCCCATCAGCCAGGTCGACACGGCCTACGCGAAGACGCAGCCGCAGAAGTGCTTGGGCATTCTAGACGGCTGATTTTTTGGGGGAAGGTTCCGACACATGACATTGGCCCCCTTTGGCGGTTGCATTCCACAGGACCTTCCTAGTGTGCAGGAAAGAATTGAACCTACAACACGTACCGAAGACCTGTGAGTATCCGAGGATCTTGGATTACTCGGAGGACTTGTCAGAAGGAGACAAGAGGACTGCCGAGCCTCGAGCAGTTGGCATGCCGAAATTTCAATCAAGCCAGTATGTTGACGATATCATTATGCACACCCCTGGAATCCCTCTAAAAAGGGCCTGTGGCCCACATGCCTGACTTCCAAGCATCTTTTTTTATGTAAGCTAAGCTGGGACATGGCATTAAAGCCGTAGCGCTAGAAAACAGTCAGTACAGGAGGGGGTTTGGGGATACTGTCTGGACATCCTGGTGAGGAGGCAAAAATAAGAGGGGTCCCCTTCTACACTCACCAAAAATTATTACAATCCGCATCAGTGGGACTCCAAAAGCGGGTGAGACCCGACTGTGAGGATGATGCTGGCCATGAAGGGAGAGTTCTGCCGGACCTTTGGATGCATTACTCTGAGGGTTAAGACTATAGTCCCCAGTGTTTGGCCCTCAATCTTGGGTCCCTGCATGTAGCTTTAAGGCCCCCTTTCCTAGAATCCCCCTGAAAGAGGTAACCTGTTGGGATGTCTCACAATCCGGGCTAGGCTAGGGAACCTTGTCACGTGAAGATCTGAGGATTTTGAGGGTGTGTAAGGGGAGCAGATTGAGGAATGTCCAGGTAATCCCTGAATCCACAAACTTTTGAATCCCCCAACCCTCAACCCCCTGCAGTAGGTCATGCGTACGGTCTGAATCTGGTTTCCCCGTTGCTCCAGCCATCTATCTAAAAATGAATAAACCAATAAGTGAATGTGTGGTCCTTTACTTCCCCAGGAAGGAATTAGTTCTGATTTTGGGCAGCTGCATGTCCTTCGTGATTGTGCATGTCTGGATAGGTCCCAGCAGAACAGGATGAAAACCCGATGGCCTTGCATCCAACGCCTGGAAGCCCAACACACCAGGAAGTGCGGTATGAAGAACTGCCGCTGCGTGGACTACTCCAAGTATGGCGAGGGCACGAAGAAGCAGCGGATAGCATAGTGGCATAGTCCCTACCGTCTTGTGACCTCAAACAATACCAACGCTTGCTAGAGTAAGGGTTGACCGGCAACTGTATCTTGATGGCAATGGCTTCAGGCAGAATATGAACAGCAATAAAAAATGTGAGTGGTGACAAGGACCATGACAGTAATGGTTGCATGAGCAACACAGACGCTGTAGGTGGATTCTTTGCCATATGTGTGTCTCACGGACAATAGTCTCCGCAGTGTGCAAAAGAGCGCCTGTCTGCTGCAGCGGCCCGACATGTCCAAGGGAGTTTCTTAAGATGGTGTGTCCTTTTTCTTGGCATCCTACTTCCAAGTAAAAAGGACCCTTTCAGGAAACTCTACAGTTTCCCTCCCGCGCCGGGGTTAGGCCTCATGAGCGGAGTAGTGTAGACCATCACCCCCTCCACTATATTCAAAGCTAGGATCTAGGAACAAGTCACAAGTTCTGATGCCCAACTTTTTCGCGGCACTGGTGTGGCTGCTATAGTGGGGCCGTGTACATTCCGGCCTTCACGCAAACGGGGTTGGTTGGAGTCAGCCTTGCAGTCTAGTCGGGCTGTCCAGGCCCGTTTTTGGGGTGACTCAACTGCGAGGCTTGCTGGGCTTAGTAGGGAATAAGGGAATTTCTACATAGGGATTATATAGGAATCATGTAGGGGTTATAAAGGGATTTCATGGGGATTATGTAGAGATAGTATTCCCTTATTCCTTACTAGCAACCAGTAAAGAAGAGGGCTGGTCTGCAGTTGTCACCTACATGAAAAATTAGTAGGTACGTGACATACGCCCTCATCCCTTCGATTTCCACGTCTACATGGCAAAAAACTTCTTGCTGAATTATTGGTGTTCAGTACGGAAGAAGGGCCCCTGTATGTATATATATATATATAGATATATATATACATATTCCCTGATTCCCTAGTAACCACCGATAAGCTTCAGTAAGGCCTCTTCGGCTGCATCCTCGAGTGACGCGCTGTCATCCAAAGGTCGTAGTAGTCATCGGATTGATAGGGCGTCTCTCAAGAGGAGACCTCCTATCCGTCTGCCTGTCTGTCCAAAGACACCACTGGCAATATCCTCCCCTTTCTGATCGTAAGGGGCTAAGTTGGGCTAGTGGGGGTCAGATAAGTGAAGATAAAGCGTCTGGAAGCCTGTTGGGTGGTGAGCTTTTGCGGAATTTTCGCACCAGCATCCTATCACTTTAATGATGGAGGTAGGGAAGAAGGGAATATAATCCTTATAGAATCTCTACATAAGATGTTCACTGCATCATTCCCTACTAACCCCCAGTAAGTCTACTTACGGAGGACAACTATTTGACTTTTGCGAGTGTGTTCAGAACCAGGCCCGGGGGACCTTGGGATTCTACTTTCAAACCCCACACTTTCTGGGGGGCTAGTAGCGATTATGGGAATATAGTATAATATAGGGAATGTGGGAATACAGTATAATATGGGGATTATATTATGGGGATTATACTCCCTGAGTCCCTCCTTGCCACCAGTAAGTACACCAATCGTGGTGTTGTATGTGGTTTGTAGGTCTCCCTTCGTCAGGGCGCACTAGCGCTGCCCCTGAAGATTTCCGCATGCTATGCAAGAATCGGAACCATGACCGGAATCCTGGCAGATTTCACATACAGACCCAAGACCCCAAGTCGAACCAAAGAGCTGAAGTGGTGTTGGCGGCTGGCCTCCTAGGATTTCTTGAGCCAAGCCTGCAGCATACAGCTGCAAGTGGCCCAAGCCATATAAGGTTGCTGATGGGGACTGAGCCTGGTGCAAGCCCTGAAAATCATACTCACAGGTTTTTGCTTTTCCCTTGCTGTCATTACTGGCGGCTCCTGCTCAATGCTACATAAGTCCTTTCTACCACTACTACTGCACCACTGATTCCCTCACCACTGCTGCTGGTACTTTGGCACAGTTGTGTTGTCATGTTTAGTTGACATATTGCTGCAACCCATGTGCTGGGGTCAGAACTCAAAAGCAGAAGCTCTGTGGAGAACTCCCCACTGCAACTTTATAACCTCATCTCACTGGTCAAGATTGGCGCGTGAGGGCCACCACCTTTCAGCAAGGGCTTGGGATTTTAGCCTAGGTCACATTTTTAGGGCTTAGCCGCAGTCTCAATGAGATCACACAGGGGCCTGAAGTTGCCAATGTGCTTGAGGCTTGAGGTGATGGACTTTGCTGACTGTGTGCGGACAGCGCGTTAGACAAAGTCTGGATGCTGATCACGCCAATGAAGCAAACAGATTGTCCGAACTTGCTTCCGCATGCTGTGGGATCCAATGGATCCAGAGATTAGATCATGTGTACGATGCGCTGCGTTCCCTGTGACGTAGATGAACATGGGTCCATGGTAGGAGTAGGTCCCTTTGCTTGATGTATGGGTGGCTTGATGGCTGCGATTCTGCAGCAGAGAGCGAGCGTCTTTACCTGCAGCTGTTCCGTCTCAAAGAAGAGGGGCGAATACAAGCCATTCTTTGACATGCGTTAACGGTGAAACAGGCAATAGCGCGCTGGCCGATCTGCCTTTTTTCTAGGTCCCGTCAACATCATAGTCACAGACACAAGTGTCAAAGTTCAGATCGGCATAGCCTCTGGGCTCCTGGAAATGCAGTCAATTCTGTGGAGGTCCGGCCAGCATTGTGGACCCTATAACCTAAGGCAAAGAATGTCACCTTGCGGGTGCTATGGCCTGCAATATACTGTAAGCCCAAAGCTTTCCCTTTTTCCACAGCCCAGCCTTAGCTCTAAATGCTCCCAGAGCCCTAGCTGGGCAAACCAGTAGTGTAGATGTTTGCTGCCAGCCCTTGCGCGTTGGGCACAGGCCAGACGTGTTCGCCTAGTAGAGAGGAAGGTCGTAGTGTTTAGGGGCCCTGGATAGTGATTGATTGGTGTTGAGGCAGCAGTCACTAGGCATTCACTGTAGCACGGATGTCCATTCACGACGTTGGTTGCTCTAATTGGTTTTTTTACCCCCTTCCAGATGTGGGCCCGACATAACGACTATCAATGAATGGATGCTCACTTGCTGGTCAGCTGGTGATGGCTGTTTGCGGGTGTTTTTGGCTAATGGCAATACCTGGGCACTTGAAACGTCTCCTTGCCGTTCTGCAACTGCCGCCGTCTTCTGCTGCTCTGGGGTACTGCATATAAGTGCCCTGTCACCCCGGTAGCACCATGCCGATCAAGTGTTTCTCAAGCTTATTTCGTCCTTATACGATACCTCCACATCACTGGGGCTTGCAGGGTACCCACATTTTGACAAGGACCATTTCAGCGACTCCCAGGGTGTAAACACATTTCTGTTTTGCACTCACCAGGTGTGATGTGCTGAAGCCGACATGCCATCAGCTCAGTATGTGGACTTTCTACAGTGGGGGGGGGGGGGGGGG